CCTTGCTTGTTAACATAGGCAAAATACATCACATTTCCAATCAAGTTGTATTGATTATCTAGTAGAATGCCATCAAACAAGACGAGTGATTTTACTTGTAATGTTAGTCTTTAAGCCAGAGATCTCCTCCTGACTTATCTTTATGTTTAGGGTTATTTCGCTAAAATGAACTGTATCCAAGTGAATGTAAAAAGCATTGGACTTGAATTAAGTTTAAAGTCATTTTGAGTCAGATCTGAGCTGACACACAAACACAAGCAAACAGTGTGTAACTTTTTCAGCAACGTTAGCTACTCCGAGGTATTAGCTGTGCATTGCTAAGCAGGAAAAAAAAAGCTTCTGTTTTGATCTGAAAACATCGGTAACACTGGAATGGTTACTTTCTATCACCCATTTCACCGTGTGGCAGAGAGAGGAGCTGGACTCTGATCCTGATCCTCCACTACAAGGTGAGTTTCATCTTAACTTCACTTTGTGTTAGCATCTGCTAAACGCACGTCTCCAAAGGACGCTGCTGATTTTATTTAGATAACGTTACTTTACTGTCGGGACTGAATTGACCGAGAGCTTGTTTACTAATGTTAGCCAGCTAGCTAAACTGTCATCATATGTTATTTCCACTATTATTACAATGAACAGACATAATGTGGCTGTTCCACATGGTTCAGCTCTATATCCCAACACCTTATAATGTATATAGCAAAAAAACAGAACTCATCTGTGAACGGGTAGAAGGATTTCAGTTTCCCTGGCACGTGCCATTTGCAGTGTGACAATGTCAGTGCTGTTTTCTCAGGAAGCTGTATTCACCACTTCATGAGCAGCATTAAGGGGCACGTCATTTATGAGGTCACACAGCCAGCAGACCACGCTCGCTTCAGTCTTTTCTACTCACTACAGCTTCAATCTCCAGTCCCAAGATGATACTGCATGCACACTGGAATTAATTCAAAGGTTAGATACTTACATCTTTCAACTGGTACTGCTCACAGCAGCTTTGATCATGTCTGTTGAGTTTCGTCTCACAGGTTACATACAAGCTGCCTAAAACATCTGATTACTGGAGCAGTTTAGAGTTCATTTTAAGATTCTTTTATTCGTTTTTAAATCCCTAAATGGTCTGGCCCCACCCTACCTCTCTGAGCTGCTTCACCCCTAAGCTCCTGCCCGGTGCCTCAGGTCAGCTGATCAGCTGCTCCTGGAGGTACCGAGGTCTAAGCGGAGGCTCAGAGGAGACAGAGCTTTTTCTGTTGCTGCTCCCACTTTGTAGAACGACTTACCTCTCCACATTAGAGAAGCTCCCTCACTGTCCATTTTTAAAACCCATCTAAAAACCTACTTTTATTCCTTGGCTTTTGATCCAGCATGAGACGGCATTTGTTTTATTGCTTTTACTGTTTTTTATTTGCTATTTTATCGTTGTTTTTTATGTTTTTTATGTTTTTATGTTTTTATGTTATTACTGTATGTACAGCACTTTGTATCAGCTTTGGCTGTATTTAAAGTGCTCTATAAATAAAGTTGAGTTGAGTTGAGTTGAGTTGAGTTGAGTTGAGTTGAGTTGAGTTGAGTTGAGCATGTGAAGGAAGCTTTTCTGACACTAATCAAGGCGAAACAACTATTACTTAATCTGCACCATGAAAGTACACTGTCCTATTTCCCCACCAACCCTGAATACACACTCTTGTTTTTCAGGACATTCATGGGGGTAAATCCTGACAGAGGCACCAAGGCTGGGCAGGTCAAAGTCTTGGAAAATGGGGAAGGTCACCCAGAAAAAGATGGCATCAGTCAAGCCTTGTGTCTCCAGTCTACTAAAGAAATGAAGGACTTTGAGTGAGACTCTACATAAGTCAGTTCACACACTCACTCACACACTGTTAATGTCTTAGCCATACTCTTTTTTCAGTTCACTTGGCCTCTCATTCACTCCTTAAGCTATTCCCTCATACAATCCTTATAAATATTCCCATACAGTACGACAGCTTATGTTAGACAAGAAATATTATCAAAAATAATCAAGTGGTTGTGTTTATTTGCGTTCAGTGTTAAATGTTCATGCAGAATACAACACTTGTTAGAGATCTTTTTTAAATGACTGAAATTTTGGTTTATTTGCGTGTTGTGTTTTCACAAGCGTAATAAAGAGAGACGTGGTTTGAAAAGACACTTTGAAGCAGTATTATTTCTCTTAAAATTTTAAGTTGCAATTTTAAAGACCACATTTATTCAATGTATTAAAACATAGACTTTTATAGCAAGACTGCCAAGGAATAATTAATCAACTCATAAAGTTCAGGGAAAAAAATAAATCACTGTGGTTCTTTTTGTTAGCAGTTAATTTATCAATAGTTTATACAGCAGCATGTTTTATATATGCACTACAGTTTACAGTAAAAATCTGCAAATATAGTTCCTGTGAAAAAAGTGTAAATAAACAGTATTTTACTGGAATAGCAGGAAATAACAGCTTTTTGCTGTATTTACAAAAACAGTAGCAAACTAAATATCAGCAACAGCATGGTACCGTTAATTTTACAGTAAAATAAGGGCAACCCTGCTTCCAGTTGTTTACTGTTTTTTAACAGCAAAACATTTAACAGTGCAGGACTGTAACTGTACCTGAATAAATCAACTGTATTTGTCACCAAAGCCAGAATCAAATCTTCAGTTAAACTGTTTAACTGGTTGGTCACACTCACTTTGACCGTGGCTCGTCATTGTTGTGTAACAAGTCTGATTCGTTGCAAAAGAATTATCATCCTCCATTTTCACTTGGAGCAGCAGGTGTGTTCAGCCATGTTGTCAGCAGCAGCAGAACAGTGACAGTATTGATCTGTGCAGCACGAGACATTGAATCAGCTTTCCAACACACTCACAAAGACACAGCCTGAGACACAGATGGATGTCCAATCATTCCCCTTCAGAGAGGTGTGTGTGTGTGTGTGTGTGTGTGTGTGTGTGTGTGTGTGTGTGTGTGTGTGTGTGTGTGTGTGTGCGCATGTGCGCGTGTGTGTGTGTGTGTGTGTGCGCGCGCGCACGCGCACCAAGGAGACACTGCTGTATCTCAGGGGGTAGAGTGGGAGGATCGACAGTTTGATTCCCAGATGTTGAAGTGTCCTTGAGCCACATGAATGTGGTTTGTGATGTAAAGAGCTTTGATTGGCCAAATAAAATAGAACAGCTCTATAGTAACTGCGCATGTGCGCGTGTGTGTGTGTGTGTGTGTGCGCGCGCGCACGCGCACCAAGGAGACACTGCTGTATCTCAGGGGGTAGAGTGGGAGGATCGACAGTTTGATTCCCAGATGTTGAAGTGTCCTTGAGCCACATGAATGTGGTTTGTGATGTAAAGAGCTTTGATTGGCCAAATAAAATAGAACAGCTCTATAGTAACTTTACATTGTTTGAGCTGCGACATCATCACATTAAACATAATTGTGTCATGGTTCATTAAAATACAGCTGTCATGAATAGAAATAATCTCTTTTTGAACATGTCTATTAGACATCATTGTGTGTGACGTGCAACACCAGAGACAGAAAACCGGATCCATCAAGCAGATAAAATGTAAAATGTTAATGATGCACCATAATTTAATGAATCAATATGTGATACAGTCATTTCATAAAAAGCTTTGTGTATCTGTTGTAGTTATGGACTCATCTCTATCTGCCTCAAGCTTGTGGATATTTTACTGCAAATCATGTTCACTCATACAATCTTATTGTCAAGCACCATATTTTAACTGTGTGTGTGTGTGTGTGTGTGTGTGTGTGTGTGTGTGTGTGTGTGTGTGTGTGTGTGTGTCTCCTACTGTAGTGGCTAATCCATTAGAATGATCTTTAACCAGCGGAGGTCAGGTGGAGTAACGACACACACACTTATAAAGCAGCCGGATGTAAAATATGTTCAATATCTGAAACTGGATTTTATTGAATAATATACTTAATATTTTCCAAAAGAAAATAATAATCAAAACAGGATTTTAATGTGACTAAACATGAAAACTGTTGGTCTCCGTTCTCTAACCTGAATGCTAACAACTCCAAAAAGCTCCTGACAGGCTGCAGCAGAAGAGACACAGCAGGACCATGTCAGGTAACCAGCACCTGCACAGGTGAGTATCAGGTAATCACATCATCCATATTCTGCTTCTGCGTCCAGTTTATTCAAAATAATATGAGTATTTCATAAGTTAAACTTTATATTTCAAAATCAGTCAAAATTCTGCATCTACAGATTTTTCTAAATACGGCTCCAACAGCTACTGCAGCACCGTGATGACATCGACCGCAAGACACACTCATGAGACTCTACAGGTGAGCAGCTGAGATCAACATGGAGGTGTGAAGGTGGGTGGGTCTGTGCTCCTGTAAGTGTGTCTGATCATCTATGTGTTGATGTAGCAGCTGGTGTTGTCCCTCTCAGTCTCATGGTGCTTGATTCAGTGAATCCATCACTGCAAACATTTAATTTAACATTTAACTTTCTCTCTGTCAGCTGAATTTCACCACATACAAAAATGCATTGTTGCCTAAAGTGGCTGCGGGTGTGTTCTGCACGTACGGCCAGTGAACTGTGAGTGCATTGTGGATGTATGAGTCAACTTGATCAGTGTGAATGCATGTTTTCATGCTGCAGAGGAATATGAGGCGTGAACTCTGTGAACAGACTTAAAACAAGCTCCCTGGTCTGAAAAACAGTCTTTCTTCTCCTGTTCCAAAGCAGATGTGATGTAACCTTGTTCCTGTTATGTTTAGTGCTATTAACATGTTGAGAAACTGTGGAGAGGAACAGATTCTCATCCTTTGTTCCTCAACCAGTTCATTTATTGAAACAAGCGATTTTTGTGACTGAAATCAGGAGCGTTGATGTAAGGAGGGATGAAAGAAAAGACAGACAAAGGAGTGTTTCCCTGCAGGGTCGCTGTCACCCTCACTTCATTCATACATATTCATATTCATATTCATATTCGTACATAAAGGGCTTGGTACTCACCCTAAGCTCCTTGAAGAAGATGCAGCTCCGAGCCCACTCCACTATGGAGAAGAGAGTCTGGTCCGCCATGCGACACATGAGGCTGAAGGTGCTGGGTTTGTCCAGCCGGCCCCGCCCCCCCTGTTCCTGCTGCAGGTGAGCAACGATCTTATTCTGTACCACCAGTTCGTCTGGGTCGCAGCGCAGCAGCTCCAGAACCAGCGGTGGCAGGCTTGGGGGCTGCGGCGAGGCCGAAGGGTACATGTCAGGGTAGGGGTATCCTGTCAGAGACTCGGGGGAGCTGGTGTAGTCGGGACACTCGGCTTTGATTACCCTGCCGGGGAAGGCTGTGTACTGGTACTGGGAGGTGAGGGGCACATGGGACTGCATGGCCATGCCCAGGGACGGGGGTCCATAGAGGTTTGCCTCGTAGTCTGTGGGGGTGATGGAGCTGGGGGTGGAGGGAAGCAGGCTTTTGGAGATGGTGGGCAGGGTGTGCAGGGTGCCAGTGAAGCCGTAGTCGGTCTGCAGTGGCGAGGCCGGCGGAGGAGCGGCGCTCTCCAGCTTGAACCCGTTGGATCGAATCAAAGCCTTCTTTTGCTGCTTCAAGGCCCTGTCTCTCTTGTACATGGGCCCGAATTTATTTCTCCCCCCACGCATGCGGTCTGCACGCACAGCTGTCACACAAGAGACGAGAGGCGAAACACAGATTCACACATGAAACAGTGTGAGAGTAAAATCATAAGAATCTAGACTCTTCACTGAGAGAATAACTGACATGTTGCTTCCCTTTTTAGGCCTGAGAGATTCCCCAGAGTCTGTGCTGCTTCACTCCTCCTTCCAGCCTAAATAGAGCGTTTGATTTAAAACAGGGGAGGCTCCGGGTTTTATCAGTAAGTCAAGAATGTGTCCTTTTCTGCTACGGAAGCAGGTGCTTTCCTGCATTGCTGTCTGGGAATTAATGTGTGTGTAGGAAACAACATGAGAACCACTGGCCCACAAATCAGGGTTTTTTTCTCTGTGATAAAATTGTCAATTTATCATTGATATATGTGTACATATATATATATGTACGTATGTATGTATACATACATACATACACACACACACACACATTAAGTGCAGCTACATTATTATTATTATCAACATTACAGGATGATCAAATATGCAGCCAAATGTCAAAAACAGACATTTTCTCCCTCCCAGAAAAAAAGAAGAGTAAACTAATAAAGTGATAATGAAATGGCGGCAGGAGCGCGTGTGATTTAAAGTGAAGTTCACCTTCTAGCCTCATCCCGACGTTAAGACATTTCTGGAAGCGACAGAAGGGACATCTCTTCCTCTGGGTCTTGTCTATTTTACACTCCTGGTTTTCCGCGCACGTGTACCTCTTGTTGTTCTGCACCGTCCTCTTGAAGAAACCCTGAAACACGGGGGTGCGTGACAAACATGAAAAACACGTGGGGCTGAACATGTTTCACTTTTTAACATGTAAACTCGTGAGGTCGAAATAACACGGCTGCTGAATGAGCGCGTAAATACACTGAACAGGACCCGACATGCACTGCGGCTAAAATCAAATGTTTACAGTGAGTTCATGTTGCATTTTTATATTTTACTTAAACAGACAAAATGATTTAAGACAGCCCGCCAAGAATTCTCTTTAAATGACACAATATTTTAATACATTTATTATAGGTTATCGATCATAATGACTGATTAATCAGCGGACTGTGTTACAGCAGGATTACAGGAGGAAGCTTGGATGTGGCTTTTTGTACCTTGCAGCTCTCGCAGGTGAGCAGACCGTAGTGATACCCGGACACTTTGTCTCCGCACACAGGACACAGCTCTTCCAGGTCATCATCATATGTGTATTCCATAACCTTCAGAGTCACACCTGCACAATATTTGCATATTATTACGCACATTCTGCATAATATTTCTAATGCTTGGATGAAAACATCTACACTTCTGCCATGAAACACACACACACACACACACACCAAGGACAACGCGGCAAACTGAGTGTGTAATGTAAACAAATTATTTATAAAGAAAAATCCAAAAATGAAATAAGATGAAAATGTGAGTTAGAACAGGATTTCATATTTTAATATTAATTCTCATTGTCTTCTATTGGGCAAAAATAATATTTACATTTCTCAGTTTAATCACTTTGAAATAAAGAAGCATAAATTGAAAATGTAATCTGACATTAAAATACAAAAAGGCAACAAGAATTATGTAAATAAACTTCCACTAACATTTACGTATTTGATCGAAATTATAATAATATTTATCTAATATGTAGCCTATTGTACTGTAATGAAGGAATGGTTTCTGTTTGTTTTATTAAAGCCCACAATATATAAATATATTAATACAGGTTATTAAAATACAGGTTATTATCAGCTGTGTTGTGTTGGATGTTTCTGCCGCTTTATTAAAATGGTGAATCTTTAGTTTTACATCAAGAATGTCGGAAATATTTCCAACATAATAGGCCTATCTGATACTTGCCTATTTCTACGGAGAATTGTGTCATCGATAAGGGTCTGCATGTGGACGCGAGGGACATGTCCCTGCTAATATTGTGGGAGGACAGAACTGTCCTCAACAATATTTGAATGAACTCACAGTTTGGAGTGATGTGTCTTCCCAGAGACTCCGTCTCCGAGATGACCGAGAGACCAGGAGCCTTTTCACCACAGCGTCAGTAACAGCCAGTAAACCAACTAACCAGTAAACTAACCAGCTAGTAAACTAACTAACTTGTAAACTAACTAACCAGCAGAACAGTGATTCGCCACCAGCCTTTTATTATCAGATTTTAATACTGATGCATCAAGAAGAAACTATATGAGACTAATATAAACATGTTGAGGAAAAAACGTAGAAAACTTTGTGTGTTGTTTTCTCTTTTCTATTAAAAGAAGTAATTTCATAAAGTTGACGTTCTTTTAATCTTTAATCTGTTTCTGTGCTACTGAGTTTTATTTCAATGTAAATACAGATCACATGTTAATAAAACATTCAGTTGATGTATTAAAACGTCCTCACGGCCTGATATAAAACATAATAAAGAAGCTGCGGTCTCCACTCGGACTCATAAGAACTTTTTTTTTTAATTATGATTATGATTATTACATTTTATTATTATTATTATTATTATTATTATTATTATTATTATTATTATTATTATTATCACAGGCAGATCAGCTTCAGCCCGCTCACATTAACTTTACACTGTGTATTTATGACAGTAGGTTTCTCCTCACAGTGAATCATGACTGAGGTGAATTGTGGTTTTACCGTCATCAAACACGTTTATTCTTCCAGCGGCGGCAGCGCTAGGCCTGAAGGTGAAACCTTCATCAGTCAGCGTGAAGAGGATGAAGATGATTTATCTCTACACTTCAGTGTGTTTGATTAATATCACATCAGCGAATCCTGCAGCTCACGTCGATGTCCCGCGCGGACACAGCGGTGAAACAGCAGCCGCGCTCAGCTAGGCGCGGCCGGCGCGTGAGGAGTTATGTGCCTCTGCTGACGACAACGGAATGTATTATTTAAAAAAAAAAAGAAACAGTTGAAAAACACTATTCTTATTATTATTATCATTATTATTATCATTATTATTATTATCATTGTCATTATCATTATCATTATCATTATTATTATTATTATTATTATTATTATTCGCGTTCTGTTACATTAAATGAAATGATGAATTTATTTTTGTTGTTATACTCAGGAAATGATTATAATATATATCATGAAGTTTTAAACTGAATCAAGCCACTAATAATGATAGCCTACCTATACGCCTCTTTTGAAATTTTTTCTATAATATTTCGATATTTCTGTGAATTGTTTTGACTGTTTCTGTTCGTCTTTCATTTTATTTAAGTTTTTAAATGGAGCTGTTGACAAAAAGGAGAAAAAAACTGTTTTTGTTAAATATAAATTACAGTCACCTCCTGATCAGACAACTGATCAGGAAATGATTGATCCTAATGAAACAGCAGGTGATTGATCAGTGGATTTACTGTGTGCAGTTCGTCCACCTGTAGAACACACAGACCGGGAAGAAGAGCTCAGACTTACCGTGAGCCTTGTCTCCCAACATCTGAACAGCAAACAGCCGCGGGTCAGTCACTGATGAGTGGCTGAGGATTCAAACCTGGTGCAGGTGTAGCTGCAGCCTCGCGTGAGCTGCACAGCAGGACACAATAAAAAAGAGCACAGATCCGGACGGACGGTGTCTACACTGACTCTGGTTTCACGACCATTCAGACCAGACCCGGGGGTTTGATGGTGACCATCAGGAGCTCTGAGTGAAACTCCTTCAGTCCCGCTCGCGCTTTACTGAGCTTCCCCTATCACAAAAGTTAGGCTCCTCCAGCGCTATTGGTGGAGGGCGGGTCATGTGATGGACGCACGCTGCCTCCTCGGTGAGAATGCCTGGACAGAGGAGCGGAGCGGTGATCTCTCTTTCTCTATCTCTCTTTCTCTCTCTCTCTCTCTCTCTCTCTCTCTCTCTCTCTCTCTCTCACACACACACACACACACACACACACACACACACACACACACAAGAAGCGGCAGAAAGAAGAAAATTTGTTAAAGTCTATTTGGAGCCCAACTCAGAATAACAGATGATATAAATCTAATCCTCGAGATTGAGAGACGGAGCTGTTCATACACAACATCATTATTATATACATTTATATAATATAATATAATATAATATAATATAATATAATATACACCCAATGAAGGTCATAATAGCTATAATGCATTAGGCCAATAGCATGTCAGAATTCATGTATTAGGATGACCCTAACATCTAGTGTTGAATTATTGTTATTTTAATGATAGTAATAATTATTATTATTATTATTTTTATTACAATTAGGTTTTGTTTGTTTGTCGGTTTGTCAGCAGGATTAAAAGTACCGATTTGCACCATGGGCGGGGCTGCGGCCTGAACCAGGGAAGACCTCATTAAATCAATACAACACAGAAACTGAACCTTGTATGTTAAATCTGCATTTAAATAACCTAGGCTAACAACAAGAACATCAACAACAGTAAACATCCATCAGTTGTAGCTGCAGTTTAGAGAGAAGGAGGGGGGCTGGACATTGAGGGAGGGGCGGGGGAGCCGACACCTTGACAGGTTGTCAGAACCCACTTCAGCACGGGAGAAAGGTCCGGTTTTTTTACTGTGAGACGTTGGTGCAAACCACTGCTACACTGTGCCGCGCTTTATAATGAGGTAATAAACTAACCAGACACAGAAATGTTGGATAAAGCACTTTTTTCGCATAAGAAAAGTGAATAAAAACATTTAACTCTCTTTAACCGGATCCATGTCCCATCCCCCCACCAAGACCAGTAAAAACAAACAAACAAATAGACAATCTCTGAAAACATGACTTCATAATAATAATAATAATAATAATAATAATGATAATATTAATAATAATAAGACTCTACCTATACATTCTATTCTACATTCTACATTCTATTAATATATTCCTTGGGCGTATAGATTATTAATTAGGCTAATTCAGTGTTAGATATGTATCTGTTATTTCATATTATTCTATGAAAGCCTACAATCATATAGATATATATCAACGAATCAATAAATTAATCAAACTTTATTTTTTCCGCACTTTTCATACAGGTTAGTGCAGTTTAAAGAGCTTCACAGACTGATGAGCTGAAAAGGAAAAGGACAAATCAAGTAAGAAAGCTGAGAATGTACCTCATTCTCAGCTTGTGAGACACAATAAAATAGATTTAAAAAGCTATGATAAGATTAGCAACTATATATATATTTATACGCACAGGCTACATATACATATACACATACATATATTTATTGATTGATATTTATTTTATTGTGGTCAGTAAAACAATGTTAACTGCTTCACTGTGGAGTTTTCTATAATAATCTGCATATGTTCATGTTCACGGTTCCAGCACACGCATGTCATTGGCATGAATATTAATGGACTCTGGCAGGGCATTCTGTGTGGTAAGCACTATGAGACGTCAAACTGTCTATTGTTAGCTGAGGCAGGAAGCAGTGGGTGGTGGCTGAGGATCCGTCAGCCTTCTGAGGGTCATTGTGTGGAAACATGAACAAAGCTGAGGGTCCTCAGCTNGTAAAAACAAACAAACAAATAGACAATCTCTGAAAACATGACTTCATAATAATAATAATAATAATAATAATAATGATAATATTAATAATAATAAGACTCTACCTATACATTCTATTCTACATTCTACATTCTATTAATATATTCCTTGGGCGTATAGATTATTAATTAGGCTAATTCAGTGTTAGATATGTATCTGTTATTTCATATTATTCTATGAAAGCCTACAATCATATAGATATATATCAACAAATCAATAAATTAATCAAACTTTATTTTTTCCGCACTTTTCATACAGGTTAGTGCAGTTTAAAGAGCTTCACAGACTGATGAGCTGAAAAGGAAAAGGACAAATCAAGTAAGAAAGCTGAGAATGTACCTCATTCTCAGCTTGTGAGACACAATAAAATAGATTTAAAAAGCTATGATAAGATTAGCAACTATATATATATTTATACGCACAGGCTACATATACATATACACATACATATATTTATTGATTGATATTTATTTTATTGTGGTCAGTAAAACAATGTTAACTGCTTCACTGTGGAGTTTTCTATAATAATCTGCATATGTTCATGTTCACGGTTCCAGCACACGCATGTCATTGGCATGAATATTAATGGACTCTGGCAGGGCATTCTGTGTGGTAAGCACTATGAGACGTCAAACTGTCTATTGTTAGCTGAGGCAGGAAGCAGTGGGTGGTGGCTGAGGATCCGTCAGCCTTCTGAGGGTCATTGTGTGGAAACATGAACAAAGCTGAGGGTCCTCAGCTGTAGGCTGCACGGTGCAGGAAACACAACCATGACTGGATTCAACACAACACTCTTACATTGCCGTCCCTCTCTGGACCATCAGGTGGCTTCAGTCTCTACAGAGTGAGGTGAGAGTGAAGGTCTCTCCATCTGCAGGCTCCTCTTCCTCATGGTCTTGCTCTCATGGTCCCCGCAGGTTAAAATGTTCCAGACCACTGACTGTCCTTGAGGAGGCAAGGTCTTAGAAATCTTCATTTAGCTTTCCTGTCATTCACATTTGTTCCATCAGATAATGTTTGAATAACCGTTGTATTTATATTTTTAAGTTAAGACATTTGAATCCAAATCTATAACCACAAAGCTTGATATCAGTGCAACCTTAAACTGCTGTTAATCATGTCTTTAGTTCACTCAATGGTTATCTTATAGGAGCTGATGGTGGAGATAAAAGTTCTCATTCCAACATGTTGCATGAGAAGGTTCTGATGAAGACCAATCAGCTGCACTTGTATTACACTTCAGGCAATTTAAACATGAAGAGCTTGGATACAGGGACATAAGCTGAATAACTGGGAATGTTCTCAATTTGGTGGCCCCCACTGGTGACCCGGGGACACTAAGCTGAACAAGCCTCATCACTGGGAATGTCTCAGTTTTATCAGACAGATCTTTATTGATGTAGTCAATGTAAATCAATTTAAAATACTAATGTGAATCTCTACACTGTGTAAATTTAAATTATAATTAAAACTGTAAACAGCATTATGCAGGCCCTCGCCCTGTTGCACCTCTGGGGCCGCTACCAGGAGCCAACGTGCAGGATGTCCCTGTTTATCAAGTGTGAACCAGAGCATGAAAATGTCACATAAATTAAATGATGATTGTCACTCAGGGATTACTTTCTGTTTTCAGTAGGTGGCGCTGTGACTATGACTTCATATTAGCATGCAGATGATGAAACATCAAAATTCGCTGTGCCACCAGAGCCATGCCTTTAAATGAAAACTCACAATTTTTGCAATGTAGCATCAGCAAGGGGAGGAGGATTTTCTGACCAAGTTTGAGGCAGATTAGGTGATGTGTAACAGAGTTAAAATAACTTCCTGTCTTGAAATTCACTGCACCGCCAGAGCCATGCCCTTAAATTAAAAGGATCTTCTGACCAAGTTTGAGGTGGTTGTGGTGAACCTGTTTGGAGGAGTACATGAAATAGTAAAACATGATATTTCCATTAAATAGGTAAATTTTCATCAGGCCTGATGCGTGTGAAAAGTTTCATGAGTTTTTGAGCCTCAAAAAGACAATTAATTTTCCCATGCGGAGGAAGAATAAACAAGACAATTTCAATAGATTCTCAGGCTCTAATAATAAGCTGTTTATCAGCAGTTATTCAAGCCTTCACCTTCCCCCATTCATTTTTACATGTCTTGTTAACGATAGTAGATGCAGGGAGTTTAAACCCCTCAAAGCTAAAATTATTCAGCTGAGTGAACTCGCAGCCTGTCCCTGTCCAATGTTAAAAAACTTGCGCAGCAGATCTGAGCCCTTAGACTGTTTGCTCAGCAGAAGGTGCAGAGAGGGAGCCGGGTTCTATCTATCAATCTGCTTCACCCCTGACCTCCCACAGTCACTACAAGGTCCTTGATTAGCTTATATCTGCTCATCCGACTATTAGGGAGCACAGACCAGAAAACAAGCTGGGCGGACTGGAGGAGGGGGCCCCGACTGACACTGGGGACAAGAAATATGGCCTATCTTCTGTTTTCTCTCTGGCACAATTTTGTTTTGCAAGTGTGCTGTGGCTACAGGTCAGTGGCCCCAGCATCAGACAAGCTCTGTCTCTGTCTCCCAGATATATTTGTATAATAAATAAAGGGGAAGGACTGAGGCCTGGCTCATGTTTTGACTTCATCATTTATATTTTGTTCATTTTGTGCCCTCCCACCCAAAGCCATTTTCTGCTGGAGTGGCAGGATCTTTATTGATAAAAGAAGATAGCGCTGCAATCACTCTGGGTGAAAGCTACAGGAGCATGAGTTTCTGTGTTGGGCACAATTTGAAGATAATTTGTAAGATTTCAGATCCTGAGCTCGTTGATCTCTTAATCAGCTTCTAAAGAATACAGCAGTGTCACGTGTCTATAAATAATCAATTGAACTTTGAAGAAACAGCCTGTTAAAAAGTGCACTAACTCAGAGATGCAGTTCAGGTTCCACAACAATATCAAAAGTGGTTTAATAAATGTCTCAGAGGCTGATATGCCCTGAAGCAAAATCTAAATCAGAATCAGCCTGTAAAAGAAACACTGAGACAAAGTCTTGTATGATTTTGATCGATTGAAACAGTTTGATTGTAAAGACATCATGAGGAATTAACACATAACCCTGCAGCTCTATGGAGC